TGTTTTTAAAGAAATTACATCTTGAATTTTTTTTAAATCAAAATCAGAACCAAACATTTTCTGTTTAATCTCTCTTCTGAACAACTTGGAAGAGTATTTTCTGAAATTAAAAAGGATGGTGAATTTCACCAATGTTGTGGCCTATCTTGGAATGGAAATAGTCGTGTTCTGGGAAGAAAAAGATATGAATTTTCCCACTGAAGTAAGCAGCTCACTTATCTATCCCCTGGTGTAAAAGTGGCAGTCAAATTAAATGTGAGCTACAGACAATTAGATTCACTTATCTTTTCATTTCAGTTGGTGGTGGTCTTGATACGTCTATCACTGGTCTTGGGAGGAAGAGTCATCATGGGCGCAGTTTATAGAACAACGAATATGTGGAAAACCCCTTTCTTGACCCTTGCATTGAAAAGTGTCCCAGTAAAGACTTTATTGTTATCCCTTCTTTCAATGAGCAAATTCATTCACAATCTTAACACTTTTTCCTAAGGTTGATCCAATGGAGAACTGGCTTATCTCTGTTTACTTGTAATTAAAGAGGGATAACTTCTAGATGGACATCTGTTGGTCAGCAGTTAAGCTGAAATCCTGTTCTGAGGTCTGTAATTGATGCACTTACATAAGGTTCTTGAGAACAGATGCTTTTGGTAATTGTTGATACAAACAATAAACCCTTTCTGCTGCTTCTGCTGCTGACTCTCTTACTAGAAGCTTAATAACCAGGTGTGGTAGGATCAGTTGCAGAGCCTTCATACTACTCGAATGGCATCATGTAGCATCATACAGGGAAACAGTTTTGCTATGTTTTCACATATCTTCATACTTGATTTTGTGTTGATTCTTACTTGTCTCAGTCAAACGTAGCTGCCCCGAGAGAGGGAGAAGTGGAGAGAAGGGTAAAGGCTTTTACAGCTCTGCCAGCAAAAGCAATGGGCTTTCTCCAAGCAAAGAAAAGCAATTTAGTGGCAATATGAAAACACATTACTTGTAAAGATTACTCAAAGAAAGTCTATAGTGCTAAGTAACATATTTATCCTTTAGTGAAAATATGAATGAGTGGGGGTTTCTATGTTATTATTAGTATTAGCAACCTTTGTTTAGCTGAGCATTTCTATTTGTAGTTTTGTGTAGACCTGGAAAATTTGTTAGCAAATCTTTTCATTTTGGAGAAGTCTGTTCTCCAAGTCATGTCCCAATTACTTTGTTCTTGAAGTGTTTGGGGTGCTGATCTTTCCTTAAAAAAAAAAAGTCGTCCTTTGGATAAATCGTTACATTGTTTGCGAAAAGGAGAACTACTGTCTATATCTGCCTTTTACAGTGAGACTTACACCTGGGCATTGTGAGTTTCTGTGTCTTGAACACCAGGTTATTGCCTGCTGGGACTTTTTTTTTATCATCATCTCTCATTCTGGGCTCCTTCCTCCCCACAAAAATCTTAAGGTTCCTTTTTTTGTTGCAGGACAGAGATTTCTCCGATTTCAAAGTTTCATTAACGCAAGAATTTATCACATCTAAGTTTTCAGCATATAGTGCTGAAAACAGACTATTTGTTAACATTTTTAGAATGATCTAGAGCAGCCATTTTTAACAAGTGCTCTGCTGCAGCAAAGTTGAGGGTAGAGTATAATTAGGACTTTACTTTTGGATAGGTTATAATTCCAGATATTAAAGTTATTGTTTAAAGATTATGCATACAGGAGAATAGTGCACATAGTTACCAGTTTTGGTAGCCAGATAAAGCATTATCTTCTGTCACCTTTTTAGTTTTTATAAATGACTGGGGGGGGAGCGTGATGCTTCGTTTAAAATAAATTGAAACACTGAGGTTCATTAGACTACTTCACTGCACTTTATTTTTTGTAACAAAAGTGATTTGACTTATTATTTGTGATAATGAGAGGTTTAATGAAAGCAATTAATTAAATCATTTGTTCACGCAGTTTCCACCATCTAAGCCTCCATCATTACACCGTGCGCACAAGAAAAAAAAGGTAGCAAGACATCAGGCAAAAAATCCGGAAAAACTAGCAAGGAATATTCTAACAGATTCACAAATGCCAGTATATGTATAAATAATGTACTAAAACTTTTTTGTTTGTTCCTTTGATTATGCTCACAGTAAATTGGCAATCCTATTTTATTTCAAGGACAAGGTTGTTTAGACTTTTTTTTTGTAGCTGTCCTCCAGAACTGTGCAATGAAACCCAATACCTTTTACTTATTTCCCTAGATACTCTAATCCCTCCCTGCTTTACCAGTATCTTTGAGCTGTTCTTCCCTTTGTATCCACAGCAACATGAATCCCTGCTGGAATTATTTGCTTCTAAAATGCAGGTGCACTTATTTAATGTTGCATTGGTTCAGGCTCTTAACTTGAAGACTTTTCACCAAATGGGAACCTCTGCTTTTACCCTACTTCATATTAGGCATTGTTATATATATTAGAAGCATATAAGACATTCACTCTCCTAACATGCACTACCTGTTTCTCAGAGCCTTTGTTGTTTTTCAGTTATTAAGAGCTTTTAGGCAGCAGTAAGAAATTAAAAGCCATAATAAATAAACCATCCTTTTGCTAGCCTAGAAATAATAATTCTACGTGGAGGAAAGGGGAGAATGATCTAGAGTGCGGTAATGTGCGTAACAGTCACTGGTCAAAATACTCAAACCTGTCTTTTCCCTGTAACTCTGTGTGCCAGTGCCTGACAGTAACCGTGGCTAAGCACCGACAGTTTGCCTGTAGTTTTCAGGCTTGTATTTAAGTGCTGTATATATATTTAAAATGCTAAGGTTAGGCATACCAGCTACAGTTCTGAAATCAAGCTTTTGTAATACAAGATACTAGGGTTTTTTCCTTATTTTATTTAAAGATTCTGATAACTTTCACAAATGCCAGCCTGTGCTTAAACATTTAACATTAGGTTTTGATTCTTAGCTGAAGAAGAATTTTACCTCTGTGTTTGAAAATGTGACCATTATTTGCATGAAACTGTGCACGGAGCTCTGCGGCTCCTTGGACCCGGGAGGGCAGCGTGCCTGCACTCTGAGCACGGGGCAGTGCCAGGTACCAGCCTCTGGGTCTCTTCAGTTCTGCCTCCGACATCAGCGTGCCTTTTTGATAGCTTTCCAATTTTCTTTGTGCCTTGATTTTTCTCAATGTAAAATGGGAATCAAAGATATGACTCATTTCATCACAGTATTCTAAGGAGATGCTAATCAACATTTTGATGCCTACAAGATTAATGAATGGCAAACATGAATTAATGTTTGGGGCATATGGGAATGCCATGGGAGCGCTGAGGTAGAAGTAAATCATTAGTTAGTAAATCGTACTGAGTGAAAGGTCTGAATTGAAGCCTCACGCTCAATGGGGAAGAACTGAACAAATACCGTATGACTATGGAAATACTGGATGACTCTGTATGGACTAAATAGAGGTAGAGCACCTGCAGAAGAAAATAGTATATGACCGGATCAATGAAGTGCATCATGGTGCAATCATGCAAAAGAGGCGTATTAATGTTGCCTGCTATTTTTCTGATGCTTGCTTACAACATTTTCATCCTAAATATTGTTAAGGTAACCTAAACTTAACGTTATTGTAGCACCTGGATTTGGAGACCTATTGGCAAGAGGCCACGCAGCATGTACAGAGATGATTTTGTCTCTAAGCTGAAAAGAAACTTCACTGCTATGAGGGCAGGCAGGGTAGGAGAATGTCTAGGATGTTTATGTACTGTTGTAGTTTTCCTCATAATTACATGTAAACGAAATGCCAAGGAGTCATACTATTTAGGTGTGTAAAGTTATTGTAATTGTTCACATTCGCACCCCACTAGGAGTGCTCCATGAGTGCAGATGGCATTCTGTACACTTTAAATTCAGCTTAATGTATCGGGCTAACTCTCATTTACATGAAGACCACTTTGTATCACTCAGCCAGCATAATGTGGCCACAAATGAAGAACAAATTCTATTTACACCCACCTCTGTGGAGTGACCTTAATTTAAATGAGAATCAGGCCCATAATCTGTATAAATATATGCACTCTGTTACATTAAGGTTATTTATTACATTGCACTCAGCCTGAGTATGCATGGAGATTTACCATAGATAATCCATAATCCAGAATTAAACTATTAATATGCATTTTGAGAGGGGCAGCCATAACCTTGAAATTCCTTGGTTTAAGTATGACCTTTAACTTTGTTTGAATATATTTTTTAAACGTATGAATAACAAATTAACATTGGTTGATAAAAAAACATTCTGATTCCTTTGTACCATTTGCATCAATCCATACTTAACTTACAGAAAGCCTTGAAGATTAGAAGGCTTAATCACTCATAATATTTATTTGTTTTTAAATGTCAGATCACATTTAGTTCAACATACTGTCAGTCTTGTTCCCCCACACACTCTGGCGTTAATGAAACTATGGTGGAAAGTATTCTTCTTGTGTCCAAAGACACATGCATCTTAGCAAAATGACAAAACACTTTGTACCTGGCCTGTGTAAAGGAATTACTTTCTGTATCCTCCTGAATATAGAATTAAAATCTATGCTGTTCCTTTGATGTGCTCTTCTAATTTCGGTAGACTTGTTGTGGGAAGCAGACAAATTACCAGTTGTCAGGAATTCTTTTTTCCTTTCCTGCGGCTTTCAGAAGGCGAGCTATGAACAGCAAAGGTGTTTGAGCAAATACTCAGTGGTCTTACAATACCTTTTGTGGTCATGGAAGGTAAGTCCTGCCATAAGGTCTTAGGAACAGAGCTTGTTGGTTACATGATAGAGTCTAAATATCTCTGTCAGGATTGAGACAATATTGTGCTGGATGCTGTATATGGCTCGAAAGTCATGGTGATGGACTGGGAAGCTAAGCTGTAAGCACTGTGTATAACCATACGTTGAAATGCACTTGCATTATGCTTGTACCAAACAGAGCCTCAGCAAACTTAACACTGGTTGAACTGTGGCATTTTGTTTTTCTTTCCACAGTCCACATCTGAAGTTCAACAATCTGACCTTGATTTCAATTCATGGCCTTCCAGGAAAAGACCTACTGGGCTCCAGATATAGAAGATTTTTAATTAACAGGTTTGATTTAATATCTAAACACTTCCATAGCTTCAAAGGAAAACATAACACTTTGTAATTCTTTGTGAACTTGTCCTACATTTTAGACAGATACATAGACAGGTAGCCTCAAAATAATCCAATCTGTCTATACAACATGCATTCACCTGTGAAATGAGTTGAATATAATTATTACTACAGAAATATTGCTAAAGCAGTAACTTCAGGACAGCAATCCAGTGTATTATACCAGGACACTGGTCTCTGCTTTCCAAGACTTTTTAGATTATTTAGACTCCAGGTTAAAGAAAAATGTCAAAAGATGTATCCTTGCTTTTAAAATATTATTTAGTTTTTAATTTCCGTGAGTTTTGTTCCAAATAATGCTGAACAAAAGAATGTATAAGAATTACTATTAGCAATGTGACCAGTGGTCTGTCTATAGCAGCCATGTGGTGAGATGCAGACCCCACTGATGATAGTGGGAATTTTGCTGAGCCTACGGGGGAAAGTTTAGGACTATTGCTGTTGATAAATTTGTAAGAACTGTGCGGCATCAATTCTGCTGCTTGTGAACTATTTGTGTGCCGGTCACCGGACTGTGGAAGTCTACCTCCAGTCCCAGCCAGAGTGCTGTCCCTTGCACTTACCTCCCCTGGGCTGGCAGAGCCATGGGTCTGGTGCAAAACAGCTGAAGGGAAGGTTGTGAAAGATAGCTATGCTTGTGTCTAGTGAGTGGTCAAACGTTTCATGAGTTTTCTTGTTTGCTGAGAAGTAAAATATCTTCCATTCAGTAGGATAAAATCTTACCTCATTCAAATTCACAGAATGTAATTCTCACTTAAATTTAGTATATTTGTTTTGATGGTTTTATTTTTTATTTTGGAATAGTGACTAGAAATCCTCACTGTAAACAGGAACATGATTGTTCTGGACGTTGAGAAGCATAGAATTAAAATGAACCAGTTATTTTGAATGACTGGGGAATGAACTTAGTATAATTTATTTAGATTTGGCAGGTAACTCTTTGGAATCTGCACATGGTTTTTTACCAAATCTTTTACTCAGTAAGCGGCAATGCACTGAAGGGCCAGCTCTTTAAATGACAAAACAACTCAATGTCTCCTTGCTGAACCTTAAAAATGAAATCTCTACAAAGACATGAAAATGGTGCGATGTGAACCTGTTTAAAACCACTTTATCTCGTTTGGAATTTTGTACTGTCAAAGAAGTTTTTGTAAGTAGTTACCTGAATTATTTTTTTTATTGTAGAAAGGGGTGTGTTTAAGAACAAATCTAGTAAATGAAGGGATTGTATGCTCACGTAAATGCGTGTAGTCTTTTTCCTCAGTATGGTGTAAAAAAGAGTTATAATAACAAAACATCCTTCCTGATGGAAAGTTGCAGTTCATAGCTGCCTCACCAGAATTAGCAGTTAAAATTTGAAAGCAGATTAAGAGTGAAAATTGAACTCTGCAGGGTATGATTTTTTGAAAGCATCCCTGTGATTTTGGAGCGTCAGTCTCCTGGGAGCTGTGCACCTCAATTATAAAGGTGCTTTTGAAAACCCTCATCTGTCCTTGATGTCCATGTTATTTATAGATTTCTGCATGATTACAGTTTGGAATTGTCAGTGATTTTCTTCCCTTATTTATTTGCCTCTGGTATTTGTGAGTACAGAGGATGCAGAGCACCTCAGAAAGCCTGGTCATTCAGTTCTAAAATTCTTTAGGTCATGAAAGCAACTTTATTTGTTTCTGTGGCATACTGTATGACAATTTTGGGAACTCAGTAACAACAGTTAATGTGTAGCAATCAGCTGTGTTTTAGAATGTATATTCTGGTACTAATGGCAGAATAACAGCTGTTAGTGCTGAGTGTCTCTCTGGCGTTCGCTGCTGCAGTCACTGATATAATATAAAGGCATCAAATGCTTGAACATGAGCTGAGTCCCTTTCTCTTTAATCACATTACATTTAGTCCTGTGGAAGAAAGTAGAATATTTTTCATCACTCAGCATCAATAGAAAGAAAAATTCTTGAGCCTCTGAATCGCCATGAGCTTTATTTGGTAGATGGAATATTTTTTCTGCAGCGACTTCAGATCACAGACTGAGTGAAGCCCTGGATTTCTTTATTGGCCATTCCCATCTTGTCTCATAGGCGTGAAGTGCTAGCAGGGGTGAGACTCAGCTTCCTTTCACACGAGATGTGCAAGTTCCATCTTCTTGCCATGTCACGCTGATCTCATAAAGCAGACATCTGTGTAACACCAGCCATTCATCTTTTTTGCTTGTTTAAAACCTGTTGCATTCTTTTTCACTAGATCCTGTGGGTTCATCCCTCTACAAAGCTATAAATGGGTTTGGGATTAGGATTAATCTTCAATTCTACTGAAAGAACCTAATTTAACAGAATTTTGCCTGGTTTAAGTTTTCAGTATCAGGAAGTTACTGAGTTGAGTCTAGCTGGATTTGCGGAATGGCCAGCAACGTACTGTGTATTTTCATAACGGGCTGTTGCAAGACCAGTGGTGTTCAAGGGTCATAACGGACCTTGTTGAAAATGTTCTCTCTCTGGTCCTCCATTTTATAATGCATTTTATAATGATATGTCTATTGTACATCTGTATTGAAGTGTTTTATCTTCATGAATCTTTGTCTTTCCAGAAGTCTATTAAGCAGAGAGGGTAGTACCAATGCAATAATAAATAAGTATCCTGGTATTTGCTTAGTTGGGCAGGGTGGGGGCATACTCTGAGTCATAAAAGACCTTTGGAAAGAATTTTAATTTTCATTACTGAGGCATTAAAAGAGGTTTCGATCCATTTGGATTTTGCTTCAAAATTGGCTTTTTAAATAGCAGCTTCCAGATCTTTGATGCTTCCATCATACATAGAGATAGATATGATACTTTACACTAAAAACAGGCTGTAACGCGGCTGAAATTTAAGAGCTGCAAAAGTAAACCTTGCCTGAGATTTTCAAAATTGACAAGTGATCTTAGGTTCCTTAGTTTTTTGGTACTGATGTTGAATTAACACTGCCAGAGCGTGGTGCTCAGAATGTGCGCACCATACACAGCCTGAAAATCGGATTTCTATCGAGGTATCTCGCTTGGTACTTAGTCCATAAGATGTTCAGGGACAAAAAGGCCTGGAAATCATAACTATTATATGGAACAAGGCTCTGCTTCTTAAAACAGACAAACCTTTATATTGTTTGTTACCTAGCACTGAAGGTAATTGCTTTGAAATTATAAAAGTTGCTTCCCCATTTTCATTAAGAATAAATTGTTGTTCAGTTGCAAGTTAGTGAAGATTAGTATTTTTCACATCTGTACTGTTTGTGTCTCTCTCTCTCATTTACCTTCCAATTCTGTTTTCTTTTGGATAACCTATGTGATAGTTTCTCCTTTATTCCTGTTAATATTCAGTTCAGAGGAATTCAGTGGCATCTTAGAGACTTATGAAAGTTTGGGGGTAGAGGGTCAGTCAGTTTAGTGCGTTTTTAGAATTTTTCATTCTTGCATTTTGGAAAAGTTTGTTTGGAAAGGGGTCACCAATAGAAAATTTGAGATCTCTGCCTTTTACTTCTAGCTCTAACAACCGTTTTCCTAGCTTTCTATTTATTTTTAAACTTTTCAGACTAATACTTTGGAACACGGATGTGTTTAAAATGCCAATGGTGCCTTCATTGCATTTGTCTCTCACCGTAGCCACTACTGGTGAAGTTGAATACCAAATGAAGGAAAAGTGGAAAAAAACTTAATAGGGAGTCTTGTATAGGAGAAGGAATTAGACTGTTAAAATATTTTCTTTGCAGGTGCAAAAGTCTCCTCCTCGCAGCAGCCTGCAAAGAAAAAGCAGAGTAAAGCATATATTTCTGACTTTGTTTTTAAATTATGTGGTTGTATGGCCCGATGCTGGGAGGGATTGTTTGGTTTTAGCAGAAAGTTGTCAATTTGTAACTGAGTATTTCATAATGACTAATCTTTTACTATAGACTGCCGTAAACTCACAGCGAGAGAACAGACTTGAACCACTAGGGGACTTGGGCTAACTCACCAGATGTCTAATTAATGCCTGCTGTCAGCTGCTGAAATGTCACTTACAGATATTCTTTCTTCACAGCCACTGTTTTAATGATGAAGATTATGCACAGATGTCACTTTGTTCCTGGGTTAACGTTGTGGTTGGTAAAATGACTGGCATAAATCGCGCTGCCAAATATGTAGTTGTTTCCAAGGAGAAAAAAGTACCATATGACTACCTTGTTCTCTGCACGGGACAGAAATACCAGGTAAGATTGTGCGCAGAGTGAAAAACATAATAGCATATTCAGTTTTACAGTGAATAGTGTTTCTGTGATTAGCAAAGCAATAGAGTAGTCCTTAGCAAGTGTATAACCAGAAAGTTTGCAGCCCTTCAGTGTAGCAGATTGTACTACTTCAGTGCGGCTGTAGAATTTGGAGGAGAAGAGAGTTTTTACAAAATTTTCTACCAGCAATGTCACTGCTCAGTATCAGATATTAAGCAAAGCTGCCAGTATTTTTGCCACCATGACCATTAAACCTGCTGAAGAGTTTGAGGCCCAATTGACATGTGGCCCCAGCCACAGGAGACTTAACTCCAGCTGGTCTAACACCATTTGACCTAGTTTTGGCAATGGAGAGAATTTCTTATCAAATTAATTGCTCATCTCACATGATGACTATGCCTAGGCACGTACGTGGTGCTGTATGTTGTTGTAGCACACAGTTAAGTTTCCAATGAGATTGAAGCAGACCCTTCGTTACGTGTGAAATGTGGAATCAAGCTCGTCTCCAGCCCTACAGGCTCAGCTTCGACTCAGGCATCCCGGGCAGGGTTCGTTCGTTCTTGTGTATCATCACGTGGCCCTCAAACTATGTAAACCGAAGGGCCATCTTTTGTATAGCCCCATTGCCTGCAGTGATTTTTGCCTTACTGATTGGTTTTGGATAGGAATCAGGAGCAAGGTATTTTTCCTTTAAAATCAGGAGTTCAAACTGAGCATGTGTCTACAGGTTTTTACAGTGCTGTTCACTGTAATTCACAAACATGAATGTGAGGTATGTTCAGCCGCATAGTGAAATCTGGACTGCATGTGTGCAACAGATTTGTGGAGCGAGAAAGCCCCAGTTTTTCTGTAATCACTTTTCAGAGTAGAGCCACACTTGAAACAACAATCCATACTCACTGTTCAACAGGGATGAAACAAAAGTTGAAGTATGGTCAGAATGACTTTAAGTGCTCCTAGAAAAAGAAGTTTGGAGGTAACTCAGACTTGCAAAATAAGTCATGGGAAGTAACTCCACTGGAGGAGAAAGAAAGATAAAGCAAGCAAGGGAAAACTTGGGTTTTATCTGCCTTCAAGAAGAAAACCTAACGTCATCTATTCTCACTTCTAAGCTCTGCAAAAAATAGGATGGAATTATTTTTATCATCTGGTTTCTGTTTTATTACACAGAGCTGTAGTCCATCCTTTTTATAAGTTGTCCCTTGTTTGGTAAGCAGTCAGATTAATGCCTAGTAAAACATTATTCACTACGATTAAGAGGATTTACTTGTTGGGTAAGAAAGATCTTTTGATGTCATGCCTGTTTTTGTATGACCGAATAGTATTTCAGTTGATCCAATTGGCAGTGACAACATTGTTCAGGATGTTAATCACTGGTGCTGTAGAAGTCATAGATTGAGATTCTCTTTTTTGCTTTGTATAATTCAGATTGAATTTGTTACTGTAAAGTAGCATTATACGATTAACATTTTACTGAATCCTGGCATTTTAACCATCAAGCAGGTTTTGGTCCCGTTCTCTGGGACAAAATCTCTCTTATTTTAGAAAGTTGATTTTTGCTGACAGAAGATGGAGGCAGTCTTGCTGCGCAAAGAATTTTCAAGTGACGTTTAAAGGTGTATGTTATTCAAATAACTGCAGAGATCCTTCAACTGTATATTTATGCATTTCTGCTGTTTGCTGTGAAGTCCCTTTCATTTGCGTTTTGCCTGTATTGTTATTCGCTTGTTCTGGCACTGCTGTTTAAAATGGTCACCCATATCCCATAGAAAATATGGAATACTTACACACACTTGTGTACCTGTGGGTGTGTACTCAGACTAGCATGAATCTGTTTTCTCTGTGGCCACTAATGTGTTTGCTGCCTCTGAATGTTAAGAAGGGTTAGGACGTATTGGATAGCAACCCTTAGGTAGTCAAATGGCTTGTGTCATTGTTCTTTGAAATCTTTCTTAACTGTTCTCCAAGATATATGCCATATATTCGTTCACTCATTTATTCATTTCTTCCAGGTCCTGTCTCCCACTGGAGCAGATATCAGTAAACTCCCAACTAACAGAGAAGTCATGAGTAGGTGGCCACAAAGATACACAGGGAAAGTCCCTTCCAATCATTTTACTCTCAACGATGATCAGGATTGCTTAAGGGCAATACACTGGCTGAAAGAAAACGTTGTCAACTCAGAAGGTAAGGGTTTTCATTAACACACGCACATTTACAGAAATGTTTTCTAGGCTTATTGTTTCCTTAATTCCGTGGTATAATTGGTGCCTGATTAATTCTAACAAAGTCTTTCATCTGCTGTGCTTTGTTTTCCAGATTAATTTACAATTTGTTGTCATTTTTGATACCCAGCATATTTAGCTAGGAAAGAAAGGCTTGAGATAGACTAATTATCTATAATTATTACATAAAACAAAATGAGTCCCAAATGCAAATCTGGCTGGAGTCATTAATTAGCCAATTAAATAATAATTTAATTAGTGGATGTGATTTTCTGTTATATAGAAAAATATCTAGATTTGAGGCGTAACACAAAGAAAACAGGTCTAAATGAGGAAGTGGGTTTTTTCCTGTATCTGTCGTCTTTGTATTCGGTTACATCAGTTACAGATTTTCACACAGAACTGCAGGCTCCGAGTATTTTGTTTTTAATCCTTAAAAATCACACATTTGTGCAGATGTCCACCATACCTGTATTTCCTCAGCCTGTTCATGTGTGCATTGTTCATATATTCATTGGTTCATTCCCTGAATGCGTATGCTATTGAAAATATCTGGACTCATCCAGGCTTCCGAGGTAAGCTTTCAACTACAGAAAAAGAGACCAAACGGTAAATGAATTCATGTAATGTCAGTTCTATGTGCCGGATTTGAGTTACGACAGAGTTCAGAGCAGGAAAGTCGTCTTTGTGGAAAGTTCCTGTCGACTGAGTGCAACAACAGGAGTTTCCTAAAGATGTAGTTGTACCTGGCTTGTTCATAGAGAACATAATGAAAATATTTGGTGTGGTCTATGAGGTTCACGTCCTGCTTGGCAGACCTTTAGGGAAGTTCTCAAGGCACTGGAAGTTTCTTCATCATCCTCCAAGTCTTGCTCTGATCAGGACAGGAGACAATAAACATGATAATGTTTCCGCTCACATTTTCCTCAAACAGCTTCCTGGCCTCAGGCATGTAAATAGAGCCTCTTCAGCAGTCCCGCTCCGCCTGTTTTCCAGCTGATACCAGCCCCTGCCTGCACAGTGTTACCTGATGTCCAGCTGATATGCACAGCTGCGTTTGCATAAACAGATGAGGTTGTTAGTTCTCCCTGTTTGCTACTGCTAGTCTTTCATGTAAATCCATGCATGCCCAGTCCTGGAATGTGCTCCAGTATACCTGCACAGAAACGCTGCCCGAGAGCCAGCTGCTGGCTGGGACACACGGCGCTCGGGAGGATCGCCCTTCAGGCAAACGGCAGTCTTACAGCACCTCATCTGCTTTGGGACTAATGCACCTTTGTTATTATTAATACTAAATTAATATTATATTAATCATAATTTCATTATTGCTGCTGACTTTTGTTGTGGTGTAGAGCTGGATATCTTAATTAGGCACTGTCCTGTCTTCAGTTATAAGCTAAATCCACAACTCCTGATGAGGCCGGTCTGGAGGGACTTTTTGGAGACATGGTCTGTGGGAGACGTGACGCCTCCCCCTTTCTCCCTCCCTGCCTCTGGCTCCAGTTCTCTTTCGTTGCTCTTCCCACTTCACGTTCTCTGCCGCTGCAGATGTAAGGTATAAAGAGTGCCCAGCTGGAGAAGTCTTTCTGCACCTATCTTTGTTTCTGTTCTTCCTCCCCCTGCTTCTTTTTCCAGCTATATTTCTTAAGAATGTTGTTCTTTCAGACTTGATCATAGCTGCGTCCAAGATCCCTACTCTTTCTGAAAATGAGTCCACTTTTCAGCCCCTAGCCTATTCTGGAGACAGTCTAATAGGAGACAGGCTCATGGAGGTGCTGAGGGAAGGCTCCTGTGGAGTTCAGCAATTGATTTGGATGTCTGTCAGCTCTCTGCAGGCCATGCTGCCGCTCTACTGGGATGACCAAAGTTTTACTGTTTGTGCTTACTTTTTATCTCTGAAATTCTTCAGATCCTAGTTTTGCCTTCAATAAATAGTAATATTACACCTCATATATTTCGTCTCATCAAAACTCTAAAGTATTGTTTGTCAAATTCCTACTAACCTGCTTTAAACACGTTAGGATTCGAAACATTAAAAAATAGGATTTGCTTATATTTAAAGAAAATGAAGTGGCTAGTAAAACTGTATATGCTGGTTATTGTAGCTGCACAGAAGTAGACATTCCTCCCACTTCAGATACAATAATAATTCTTCTCAGCTTATACTCGGTCTTTTCTCCACAAAACTTACTTCTGTTTGTGCTCCTCTCACTCAGCCATTTGCTACGTTTACCAAAAGTAGTCTGGAGCCTGCTGTGCCGAGCCCCGCTCTCCTTGCTCGGCCGCTGGATGAGCGCCCGGGGTCCCACGTAGCCAGCCAGGGGCTCGGGCAGGAGCAGCTCCCACCGGTGCCCAGCGCGGCGGGTGCGTGGAGCTACCCGGCTGGGGGAGAAAAGACCGGGCGAGGGAGGGCAAATGCGCCTGCAAGACCACCTGTAGTTCTGGAGGTTTTTTAAAGGAAAGTGTTAATCACTGAGCTTCACAATGTGAGTCTTATTAGCCTAATTGGATGAAATTTTCGTTTGGTGGCACTGATTTTGTGAGCAGCTTTTAATTAAGAGTTAAGGTAGGGTTTTTAATTGCTTTTCTTCCTTCTGTGAGTGCTGGGTACCCCTTCATTCCGGATGAAATCAGTGGATGCTTTTTTGCGGGTCGTAAGT